TAGATTTTGTTTGTTGTGTTTTTTCTGGTTTTCGTGCTCTTATTCAGTTTTGTTTTTGTTTTTCATCATTCTTTTTACTAAATCAACTATAACAAACAACATAATTAAAAACATTATAATGAAAATAATTTTCAGCATAGTATAAAGACCAACATATCAAAACAATATCAGCATAACAGAACGACCATATATTTAATAATGCAATAACATAAGCAGAATAATATGACCCCAACATTGGTCGACCTAAACCAAATATCGGCAGAACATATTTCCAATATACCCGATAACGATGCTGATATCTAACAATATAGTAAGGAAATACGGTTCATCAAATTAATTGACCCAAATGTTAACTTACTAGATACTAGAATATTTTATATATATAATGACGATGATGACGACGACCACAAATTTCACAATATATCAATTTAACATGTTAATACTGATCTTAACAGATTATATGACTCATCATCTAATTGATAGTTGAGAATAATTGAACAAAACAAGATAAAGTTGACAAACAACAAAAACCAAAACAAGATTAATTTCAAGAATTCATGCATCTAAACAAATTAGTTGTCCCTTCTATGATCTAATAATTTAATTAACTCATATTCGGGAAACATTAATCATTCAACCTCTTCTAAAATTTTCTCAATTATTATACAAATGTAGGATAAAATAAAGAGAGTTAGAACTCACCTATACTTAAAATTTTATATCAATCGATACTTGAACCAAAATTCCTACGATCGCCTTCAGTGACTACATAATTCAACTAAAATCAAACATTATTTAGAAACTCATGATCAATACATCTTAGAAAATTTTTAACAACATAAAACTAAATCCTATATTAGTTTCCCGAACATCGGTTTGATCAGCACTACAACTGGAAAATTGAACATTGGTTCAATTTGTAATTGTATTAAATATGAGGTTTAGATAGAAAACTGATTACATGAACTACCGCTAATTGGTGTGAAAATTTTAGAACCAATTTCAAAACCTTACAACTGGAAAAAAAATCCAATTAGACTGAAGGACACAAATCACAAATGTGTTGTATATTTTGTAATTCACAAATGAGGATATAGATTGATAAACCGACTTCGGATATTCAACACTGAAGGACACAAATCAGTTCATGTGTTTCTCCTTTTTTAGACCAATTCTTATTTTATTACTATATTTCGTTTACAATATGTGAATCGAGCAGAAATCCCTAGCTAAAAGATGTACATATTCAAAAATTTTAAATCGATTGATTCAACCAAATTGTTTTTTCTTTTCTTTTCAGGTATTACATTTTCTTTCTGACCTGGTGTCACTTAGCCACATTTTTCTCGTATTTTTTTAATTATTCTTTTAGTTTTTGAAGAAACAGTAAAAATTCATAGTGATAATGTGTTATGAATAAAGCAATAGATAAAGCTAAGACTTGTATTTGGTATGTTGTTGTGTATCTATAAAAGATCATGATCTCCTTTTATAAAGAAAATATAAAACTAATAACATACATGAATTCCCTATAAAATTATACTACTTTTATAAAATGTTACTTATGGTAGATGTAATTTAATGTTAATCCACTATTGTCGGAGACAAAGGAAGAAAAAAAATGATTTGATTTTATTCCCTTTCCGATATCCATTGTTTTGTCGGTATCGTGAGAGAGCGAAAATTGTAAACC